TTCCCATCCCTGAAACCACGTTTGCTGCTGTTGATGAGACCATTCCTTTCTAGGTGTTCCACCACTCTTCTGATAATCTTCTCCATGACTTTGCATACTATACATGTCGGTGACACTGGTCTGTAGTTTAATGCTTCATGTCTGTCTCCTTTTTTGAAGACTGGGACTACATTTGCTGTCTTCCATGCCTCAGGCAATCTCCCTGTTTCGATAGATGTATTGAATATTGTTGTTAGGGGTACACATATCGCCTCTGCTACCTCTCTCAGGACCCATGGAGAGATGGTATCCGGCCCCATTGCCTTTGAGGTACCTAGCTCACTCAGAAGCCTCTTCACTTCTGTATGTTTTTTATGTGTGTGTGTGTTAGTGTGTGTGTGTGTGTGTGTGTGTGTGTGTGTGTGTGTGTGTGTGTGTATACGCGCGCGTACGTGGGTGTAACAGCTGGCACTCTTCACAGATTACAAGCATCAACAAGTGGCACTGTGTGAATGAGGGCCTTCCTGTCTCTCTGTTTCTCGCCTCACGTGCTGGGTCCTTGAAGACAGGTGAACTATCTGCCTAGCTCTCCTACTCCTTGTAGCAAATGAACCAGCTGCCTGGTTCTCCTACTCATTGTAGCAAATGAACCCAGCTGCCTGGATCTCCTACTCATTGTAGCAAATGAACCAGCTGCCTGGTTCTCCTACTCATTGTAGCAAATGAACCAGCTGCCTGGCTCTCCTATTTCTTTTAGCAAATGAACCAGCTGCCATGCTCTCCTACTCATTGTAGCATTTGAACCATCTGTTAGTACTTGTAGCAGGTGGACCAGCTTCTTAGGGCTACTACCATTTGCTCTCTTATTAAACATTAGTAGCAGATATGTGGATATAATCAGAAATAATATATATCATTTAATAATAATAATAATAATAATAATAATAATAATAATAATAATAATAATAAATTCCCATTACCTTCCTCATGTGTGATACGTAAGGTGCCTTTTAAATCTTTCAAATATTTGCTTATATTGAATATAAAGTTTTTTTTCCTGCACTTTTTAATAGACCTAAATTGTGTATTTTATTATCGTTTTCTTTCCCTAAATTTACGAATATTAGAAACCAAAAAAAAAAAAAAAACAATGTGCTCACCAGGGCTCGAACCTGGGACCTTCTGTGTGTTAGACAGATGTGATAACCACTACACTATGAGCACCTGAGGTCCAAATAGAACAAGTACAGCTTTCTGAGCAAAGTCTATTGGTACTCACCTAAGTTAATTGGTTTATTCAGGTATACACAAATACAGCTACATAGATTATCATACATAGCAGCATATGTGTAGACAACTTGGAATAACCCTCCCCAAAAAAAGTGAGAGTGACTTATTTTCTCTGGGGTGCTTAGTGTGTATACATCAGTGTATACATCAGTGTATACATCAGTGCATGCCTCACGAAATCGTAATGACACGATTGGAAACAAACCACTGTATTGTAGAAAGTGTGCTACTGCTACTGTTACTACCTATAACCAATACTACAGTTGCTACTACAACTACTGCTCGAACCCAACACTACCACTACAGTTACTACCACTGCAGTTACTACCACTGCAGTTACTACCACTGCAGTTACTACCACTGCAGTTACTACCACTGCAGTTACTACCACTGCAGTTACTACCACTGCAGTTACTACCACTGCAGTTACTACCAGTGATCTAGTTTCTGGTATTTCATTAAAGGATAATTTGTACTTATTTATGTACCTGAATATTAAAAATCAAGACAAAGGGTGAGAGAGAGAGAGAGAGAGAGAGAGAGAGAGAGAGAGAGAGAAAGAGAGAGAGAGAAACATTTAAGACACTGGACGTGGTAGGAACAATAATACATGTACAACATTCGGAGTTTATAATGAAGACTGTCACCACAGACTGGTGGTGATGGAGAGAGTCAGTGTTAAGAGCAACAAGGAAATATAGATACAAGAGTCGTGAGGCCAGTTTAGGAACAGAGTTAAACTCCTTGCGCTGAATAAACCCGTACAGGTGTATGTTTATTTAGCTGCAGATACATATAAATACAGTTACACAAATTATCATTCATAGTATCACGTGTAAATTATGTAGGATAACCCAAATAAGTCACTTATTTCCATTGATAACTTCCATTTCCAATGGTGACTTATTTCCAATGGTTACTTATTTCCAATGGTTACTTATTTCCAATGGTTACTTATTTCCAATGGATACTTATTTCCAATGGTTACTTATTTCCAATGGTTACTTATTTCCAATGGTTACTTATTTCCAATGGTGACTTATTTTCACTGGGGTCCTTATAGTATCTTATTACTGAAACAAACAAATAACAAAATTTTTGTTTACTTGTGCAGTATAAAAAACGTAGTTTACACGTAATAAAATATTGTAAAGCAAAAAAGAAATAAATCCACTAACATGTTAAATAACTCAGCTGTGTGAAAATTAAAAAAAAAAAAAAAAAAAAGATATACTTGGAATAAAGTAAAGCGAGTTACTTACATTAACATTAAAGAGAGGATCAGCGTACGTGAATGTTAACTATACAAGAAATTAGTCTCCTCCCTCTGTAAGTAAGTAAGTAAATTTATTCAGGTATACACAATACAGTTACATAGAATTATCATACAAAGGTACTGAACTGGCGCATGCTAGGACAGGGACACCGCTCCACCCCATAAAACAAAAGTATCAGTCAGATTACTATACGTGAGTCTGGTTACTAGACACTGTTTGCCCAACCAGCAAAAAAAAAAAGAGTTATAATGGAAATAAGTCACTTTGTTTGACCTTTTTTTTTGGGTTTTCCTGGTTAATTCACACACATTACTATTTATGATAATTGTACTTATGAGTACCTGTACCTAAATAGACTTACTTAAAGCATTCCCATACCACCATACCATGTATTATTACAATGAGATACCGTAAGATCGTACCGAATGTGGTGTAGCTTCAGTTTTACAGTGTATCTGGTACTGAGCGAGAGAAGATCAGTACTCGAGCTCCTTCGCTTATACAACGTTATTATTGTCACGGTAAGTAATCTTATCTTCTTTATCGCAGGTGAAGTTTCATCGTCCCTAGTGTGTGTATAATGACATTTGCCTGGCTGGCTGGCTGCCTCATCTCCTAGAGATAGACGGAGATCATTTTCATTTATTCCAGTGCTTGGAAGAGCGTCGATGATGTGTGTGTGTGTGTGTGTGTGTGTGTGTGTGTGTGTGTGTGTGTGTGTGTGTAAATAAATAGGTTTTCCATTTGGTGATCTTGAGAGTATGAGGAACAGGAATACCAAAGTTGTGTTTAAAGTTACCTATAGTACCGCTCAGGTATCGAGAATTACAACTGAGTCACTGGCAATTTGGCAAGCACTAACTCATTCTCTATCACAGAACAAGCAATACGTTCTTCTGCACCCTGATACCATAGCTGCTGCAACACAACCACAGGACAACGTAACGTAACACTTATATACATCTTGAGAATCTTACTGATCCTAGATGTGCAGGAATGACACGCATCAAACAAATGGATACCAAGCCACCTAGGTATCCCAGTGAACGAGGCCACAGATGAAGCTACGAATTAGCCATTAGGGATAAGGATGTATTTGTCGCCATAACAATCATCCTACGACACACTAAATATACAGCCCAAAATATTACAAGACAAATACGAGATACCTTCACCCACACATCAAGATCAGAGGCTGTGGCATGAAACAGCGTCACAACAACAGCGTCACAACAACAGCCTCACAGCAACACCCTCACAGCAACAGCCTCACAGCAACAGCTTCACAGCAACACCCTCACAGCAACACCCTCACAGCAACACCATCCATCTGCCAACAGAGAACTTACTAGATATCAGTACACGGTTATTTATCGACTAAGCCTTGGCTACTCAAGGAAATGGAAAAATAATTGAGAATGCAGAAGCAGAACAGTACCAGAACAACCAACAACAGAACAATGCTAACACTGCTACACAATCAATAAAATACCTGCTAGATTGCCAGGTAACACTCCCACTGCGAAATCACCCACCTTTACCACCACCATAGCAGCGCTGTATAGCCCTTGTGGCTTAGCGCTTCTTTTTGATTATAATAATAATACCACCACCATTGCACTAGGAACCTACCACAACTGCTACCTCTCTAGTATTCCCAGGAGTAAATAATCTAAGAATGTTGGTGGCCATTTTATTAACATGTCCGCCCCTGTGACAACCTTACATATACTTTAAAAATCAGAACATCAGCTGTTGTAATACGCTGCACAATAACATCTCTAATACAAATTATTAACAACAGTTTCTGAAACAGCAGCTAGTGTAACAACAGCTACTATAACATCAGCTAATGTAACTACAACTACTGTAAATATAGCTATTGTAACTACAACTAATGTAGACACAGATATTGTAACTACAGCTAATGTAACTACAGCTGCTGTACAGACCTGTACATCAAAATTACTATTAAATAACACAAGAAGCTTGGCAGGCGGTGCAGGATACCACCAATAAGAAACAGGGCAACTTAGGTTTGGTTAGGTCAGATTCGCCAGAAAAGAGAAAAAGTGTTTCCTGACGTGGGTTTTGTTCATATGATGACTCGCCACTGAAGCTTTTGGTCATCTGACCGAGGCCTTCCACTGGCTTACCGGTCCACCCCGTGCTTGCGGGCACTAACAGCTCGATTAATCAGGCCAGCAACCAGGTCTGGTCTGAGACCAGTTCACGGCGGCGGTGACCGCCGAAAGCGACTCCAAATAAACTCCAGGTAATATTCCCAGCACCTGGGGATCCAAAGAAAGTGGAAGAACTCAAAATATTTTTTTTAGCAATTAACTTATTTTGTGCCGGAGTTAAAATTCAGAAGTTCTCGGTGCTGAAGTTTTGGGATTTTGTTCTGCATACACAGGTGGGGAGGGAAACTTATAACTCTATTTGCATGTTGCAGTTGCAATATATACAAAGTAGGCGTTTCAGCATAGTGATCATAGCATAGCGGATCCTTGCAGCAGGGTTTGGAACACTGGTTTGTTCACTCCTGTCGAATATCAGGTGGGAGGTATCACAACAGTCTGAGAACGGCGTAAAGGGGAGGCGGGATATCACACTAGCCTGAGGGTTGTGTCAAGGGGTGGTGTGTCACAATAGCCTGACGGTAGTGTCAAGGGGAAGGCGGGATATCACAATAGCCTGAGGGTGGTATCGAAGGGGAAGTGGTGGAGGCAGGCATGATGGCTTGGGTTATGACATTGAGGCAACGGCCTCTCTGCTAGCGGGTGTTGGAGGAAGCCAGAACCTCTGAGGTGGCGGACGTAGAGGCCAGGGTTGGGCGGCGCAGGCAGCCATGCATTGCCCACGAGTATAGTGGTGGGAGTAACTGCTTGCTGGAGGGGAAGACCAGCCTTCATGTCCACGTTGAGGAGGTGAAGGAAGATGACAGTGGAATGCAAGTGGATGTAGTAAGTAGCACCGTCTTCAGCAATATCTACGTGATATCCTCGACGGTTTAAGCTCAACATAGCCAACTGCACTTGTAAAGTGGCATTCTGGACGGCGAGGTGGGCATCCATTTCCCAGGACTGCTGGCCACCCACAACCCCAGCCACTGCTGTCTTGTTCATTATGTGAACATCTATATATTGTTCTTGCACTGCGGACACCACCTCATGAAGAGCGCCACCCAGGAGAGCCAAACAACAGGAAGGGAGAGCAAGGGACTTGTCCACCTTGCTGCAATTGAGTCTAGCCTCCATACAGGAGTAGTGGTGGTTGAAATCATCAGGTAGATGTACGTCTGTAACGTTCCACTTCGAGGCAATAGCGTCCCAGGCAGTGCGACTCTTCCAGGGGTGATATTCATCTGAGACAAAAAAGAGGACATCGGGGCAGACAAGACCCAAACCTCCAGCAGCCCTAATCCTCAGGAACCAGTCGCTGAAGACTACTTCCCCCGGGAGATGCACATCGATAGGTATCGAAGAAACCAGTTTAGTCGTCGTGATGAATGGGCCAGCGACGGAGTCACAGAACATGCATCCGTAGTCAAAGCTGGTGTACCCATGCTGTAATGTTAAGACATACATGAGCATTCTGGTCTGGTAGCATCCTACTCTCCACTGCCCATTCTGGTTCCTAGAGGCGCCACCGACGAAGGCAGCGTTGGGTACCTGAAGAAAAGTCATGAAGAGTCTCTCCAGATCGGAGAAGGAAGACAAGGCGATGAGACCTCGACCAACCAAGACATACGTGGTGTTGACCATGGCCAGCAGGCGTGACCACCTCACAGCCACTGGGGTGCTGCTCGTCACCCGGAAACCTCGAACATTCTTGTGTTGCTTGGAAACGCGAAGCGCAGCGTCTGAACCCACACACACGACAACCTGAAGCCCATCATACCTGTTGGAAACTTCTATAAAATACGAGTCGAGCTTCCAAACTTGGCAAACAGGCAGAGCAAGCCACATGAGGATGGAAGTCTTAAGCGCTATATTTTTTGTACCCTCGTGCGTCGTCAGGAGCTGTGCAATGTAGCAAGACAGCAATAGACAGGAGGGGAAGTTCTCTGCATTAAACCACTGATACCTTCTGTTGCTGTTTCGCAACACTGCATAGCTCCTAACGACGCAAAAGAGCGCAAAAGAGCTAGAGCTTAAGATATCCCCATGTGGCTTATTCCACATACATACACACACACATTATATATATATATATATATATATATATATATATATATATATATATATATAATATATATATATATATATATATATATATATATATATATGAAACATTAAATACTACCATTACTACTACTAACAATAATAAACTGATATTATAAAACCCCTCACACTTCTCTTCAAACGAAGCTGTCAGGTTTCAAGTCTAGTCAAAGGGAGAGGTGTATTTCTCTCAGTGTATATATTGTATGCTGAGAGTTACCTTTAATCCGTATTTTAGGGATTACAGTGATTTTGTCTGATGGTGCAAAAGTTACAAGCAGCCTTAATGACCCTAGTGTAGTTAATAGGCTTTAAACTCCATTAGCTAATATAAAAGAGAGAAGCTTACGACGACGTTTCGGTCCGACTTGGACCACTGACAAAGTCAATGTGTGACTTTGTCAATGGTCCAAGTCGGACCGAAACGTCGTCGTAAGCTTCTCTCTTTTATGTGCGGGTTATTTGTGTATCGTTCCAGTCACGGTGTTGTGCCTTTTTTTAGCCATTAGCTAACCTGTTCAAGGGGAAACTATCAGGTTTCAAGCCTAACGACTCCATGACTACACTAAATTCAAAAGTACTCTAATGCTTAAAACATGGAGTAGAGTACACTCTAGGTATATATGCGAGTAGTATATCTCTCAGTGTATCTGCACTGAATATATAAATCCTTTTCATGCATACATACTAAGAACAGCATATATATTTTTCAGCGTATTCGCACTGAAATATACACAGCTGTGCATTTGGACACTAAATATATCTATCTGTCAGTGTATATATATTTAACTTGGATAATATATATATATATATATAATATATATATATATATATATATATATATATAATATATATATATATATATATATATATTTTCTTCTTTCTTTCAACACACCAGCCGCATCCCACCGAGGCAGGGTGTCCCAAAAGGAAAAACGAAAGTTTCTCCTTTTACATTTAGTAATATATACAGGAGAAGGGGTTACTAGCCCCTTGCTCCCGGCATTTTAGTCGCCTCTTACAACACACATGGTTTACGGAGGAAGAATTCTGTTCCACTTCCCAAAAATAATATATATATATATATATATATATATATATATATATATATATATATATATATATATATATATATATATATATATATATATTTACCTAGAGGCGATGTCTTTTAAGAGGATCTCAAGCTGCGTGTCGTTAACCCTGGTAACGTCTGTAGCTACAGTAAACACCTCTTGTAGTGACACCTGCAGAAGACGAAAAAGAATCTATACAAAACACATACAGTAGTACAATGTAAATTTCGAGTCGCGCTCCATGAATTTAGATAAAAAATCTTTTAAATGTATTCTTCAGACAGGTAAAAGATGGTCAGATATTAGGCAGCTACTGGACGGAGGGTCGAGCTCCCATTACTTCTTGCAAATAAATAATCGACGCCAGTTTGGCGCTTGAGGGATAAAAATCAAATGTATATACATGCCTTTTGATGCATCTGGTCGTGGTCACCGCTGCTGTCTCCCTTATTCCTCCCTCCTCCTGACTGCTGGAACTGACGAAGGATACAGAGAGCTGCATTCTCTATGGCACAGTTTGATAACATTAATGTGTACTCTCTACCCATCCTGTGGGTGGTAGTCACACCATACCCATCCTGTGGGTGGTAGTCACACCATACCCATCCTGTGGGTGGTAGTCACACCATACCCATCCTGTGGGTGGTAGTCACACCATACCCATCCTGTGGGTGGTAGTCACACCATACCCATCCTGTGGGTGGTAGTCACACCATACCTATCCTGTGGGTGGTAGTCACACCATACCCATCCTGTGGGTGGTAGTCACACCATACCCATCCTGTGGGTGGTAGTCACACCATACCCATCCTGTGGGTGGTAGCCACACCATACCCATCCTGTGAGTGGTAGTCACACCATACCCATCCTATGGGTGGTAGTTACACCATACCCATCCTGTGGGTGGTAGTCACACAATACCCATCCTGTGGGTGGTAGTCACACCATACCCATCCTGTGGGTGGTAGTCAAACCATACCCATCCTGTTGGTGGTAGTCACACCATACCCATCCTGTTGGTGGTAGTCACACCATACCCATCCTGTGGGTGGTAGTCACACCATACCCATCCTGTGGGTGGTAGTCACACCATACCCATCCTGTGGGTGGTAGTCACACTATACCCATCCTGTGGGTGGTAGTCACACCATACCCATCCTGTGGGTGGTAGTCACACCATACCCATCCTGTGAGTGGTAGTCATACCATACCCATCCTGTGGGTGGTAGTCACACCATGCCCATCCTGTGGGTGGTAGTCACACCATGCCCATCCTGTGGGTGGTAGTCACACCATGCCCATCCTGTGGGTGGTAGTAACACCATGCCCATCCTGTGGGTGGTAGTCACACCATGCCCATCCTGTGGGTGGTAGTCACACCATACCCATCCTGTGGGTGGTAGTCACACCATACCCATCCTGTGGGTGGTAGTCACACCATACCCATCCTGTGGGTGGTAGTCACACCATACCCATCCTGTGGGTGGTAGTCACACTATACCCATCCTGTGGGTGGTAGTCACACCATACCCATCCTGTGAGTGGTAGTCACACCCTACCCATCCTGTGAGTGGTAGTCATACCATACCCATCCTGTGGGTGGTAGTCACACCATGCCCATCCTGTGGGTGGTAGTCACACCATGCCCATCCTGTGGGTGGTAGTCACACCATGCCCATCCTGTGGGTGGTAGTCACACCATACCCATCCTGTGGGTGGTAGCCACACCATACCCATCCTGTGGGTGGTAGCCACACGATACCCATCCTGTGGGTGGTAGCCACACCATACCCATCCTGTGGGTGGTAGTCACACCATACACATCCTATGGGTGGTAGCCACACCATACCCATCCTGTGGGTGGTAGCCACACCATACCCATCCTGTGGGTGGTAGCCACACCATACCCATCCTGTGGGTGGTAGCCACACCATACCCATCCTGTGGGTGGTAGCACACCATACCCATCCTGTGGGTGGTAGCCACCCCACCATACCCATCCTGTGGGTGGTAGCCACACCATACCCATCCTGTGGGTGGTAGTCACACCATACACATCCTATGGGTGGTAGCCACACCATACCCATCCTGTGGGTGGTAGCCACACCATACCCATCCTATGGGTGGTAGTCACACCATACCCATCCTGTGGGTGGTAGCCACACCATACCCATCCTGTGGGTGGTAGCCACACCATACCCATCCTGTGGGTGGTAGACCCAAGTTTATGTTAAAAATGATAAAAGCAATAACCAGGTCACAACTTCCTGTTCGCTGAGCAAGTTGTAACAAGAATAAGTTGTTCACGAGAATAAAAAATTTAATTGTAGTGGTAATTAACTATAGGAATAATGATACCAGCAGCAATAGTAATTAAATACAAGAATGAGGAATTCAGTTACAGTGACTCATAACTAAATGAATATATATAATATATATATATATATATATATATATATATATATATATATATATATATATAATATATATATATATATATATATGTCGTGCCGAATATGTAAAACTGGTCATTAGCAAGAACTCATTTAAAATTAAGTCCTTTCTGAAATTTTCTCTTATACGTTTAAAGATAATTTTTCTCATTAATGTTGATGTAAAAATTTATAATTTTGCACCAAAAGGAACTTAGAAAACTTACCTAACCTTATTATAACAAAATCAATTTTTTTAGCCTAACCAACTAAATATATTTAGATTTGTTTACAGTAAATTAATACTGAACAAACACAGTGAAATATATTTTTTTCATTACGTTCAGAATGAATTTTGGCGAAAATTATTGCATACAGCAAATTTTCACTAGTCCTATATGGCAAGATGAGCGTTTTGCTATTTTAAGCCAAGATGGCAATTTGCTATTCGGCACGACATATAATATATATATATATATATATATATATATATATATATATATATATATATATATAGCAATGAGAAAGAGGTCATCGGACCTAACTGTTTGTGATTTCTTTCTTTGGGGGTATATGAAGAGCACAGTTTACGTACCACCACCACTACCTGCAACACTGGAGGAGCTGAAAATTTAGATCACTGAAGCACTTCGCATGATAAGACCAGATATGCTGCAGAGCGTCTGGACCGAACT